TTTTGCTGTTATCTCTGAACGGGACCATATTGTTGAGGCATGAGGTATGGCTAGGTGTCTATTTTTGCAGAAATTCACCAGAGTAGTTGTGCCATCGCCTAAGCACCTTCTTACGCTTCATCAGAAGAAGGCACTTCCTGTCGTTGATGCTCAGGAACTTCTCTACATCCACGGTCTGGCGGTAATGATCTTTGGCAAGTCGGTAGATGTGACGCTCGTCTCGAGCTTGCAGCTTCTTCCTGACGTGTTTGAAGTGAGCGGCTTTTGCAACAGCCACAGCCTTCTTTGCTGCACACGTAGCTTCCTGGTATCCCCGCAGTTGTCAGCGAACCACTATGCTATCCTATTTCGTGCGTTGCTTCTCCTTGCCGTTTTAAAGTGAGGTCTACTGACGAGCGAAGCGCACATGTAAATAAATCCACGATGAGAGCATTTAATGATGTCATTACTGAAACAGATATCGCTTTCTAGCACACTTTCCTGTAACGTCGATGTCGACACGATTAACGATGACTACTGTGAGAAAACACTCCCCAGAAACATACTTATAACATAACTTAACCCTAATTTTCTTACAGAGAAGAAGATGTCGCACGATGTTCTACACACAGTAATAGAAGGAACAGTGGTTGCCTCTTACCTGTTACTTCTTTTCATTATCGTCACATCTAAAGCGAAAATTTTCGAAACTGCTTTTTACTCGATGTTTGTGGCAACAGGTGAAAATTTTAATCAGTATAAGTAGTGCTACTGCCACAGAGTCAACGCTCGTTATATCTTTTTCTACTGCCTGCAGGAGCTGTCTTCAAGAGTGAATTGTGAAGTGAATGTCTCAGCATCTGCCATAGCGCAATCCGCTCAAGTGTGGACGGGAGTGTGGCCAAAGCGACACATGTCTGCGATCTCTGACTCTTGCTTACCGCTAGAGGCGTATTTCGCTGCGGAACCTCAGTATCGCTCATATGATGCACTCTGAGGATAGCTGGAAGAGTGTGGCGACGATACCCGGTTATCGTCACCCTCCAGCCCCATTTCCAGGCTTTCTCAAGAAAGTGTGAGGTTTGTGTAGCTGCCCACCAGTTCTTCTCGCGCATGGCAAGAACCACCTTCGGAGGCAGTCGAACGCAACCATAAGTAAATCGGAACTTAATCTGCCTTACCCATAGAAGAGCTCACCAGCACACCGGCGAGTTTGTTTGGCGGGGAACATATCTGTAACGCTCACCACAGGAGTTGTGTGAGTCTTATAAGGTTGAACCAAGTAATCCTGAGCCAGTTTGATTTTTCTGATTCACATCAAAAATGACTTCTTGGAAAAGGTAGTGATTGGTGAGGGGGGGGGGTGACTGCCTCACATGGGCCGCGTTTGCAAAAGTCTTGGCATCGGTCGCAAAGAGAAACGGCCCATAGATTGAACAGAGCAAGTGGTTTTTCTGGACACTGCCACTGTAATGGCTACAGCTAGCTTGCCCATTTGGAAGGCAAAAGTTTTCGTTCAACGCAATTCAGGCCCAGATGACAAATGAGGGAGAATTCATGATGTTCACACTAAAATCAAAGTCCTCACAGTATGCAGGAGAAAGCATCCCTGGTGCTCTCATCCTGCAATCAGCTGTAACTACTGAACCTGCTCTTACCTGCCTCAGGTTGACTCCGTGTCGGATGT